TATCCCGAAGCAGGTGCAGAAACAGTTAAAGAGACGGTAGTGGGATTTTGGGAGAGTTTTCTCAGTCCAAAGCGTACCTCGCGGTCATTGTCTGACTGGGGACTGGCTGGCTCTCTTTCCTTTGGTGACACACCTTCGGTATCAGGGGGCATGTAGAAAGCGCCGAGACAGTTGAAGAAGCAAAGACACACTTGTTAATACGAATGTTCCGGGCGGCAGACGTCAACAGGATGGGTTTTTCTAAAAGTTTTTCCTGGCTGAAAGTTTCTAGGGGTCTGGCACTAGAATGAGTCTTTTATCAGTTGACATACCGAGATGGACGCCTCGTGTAATCATCTCAATGAAAAATGGAAGAGGCGGTATCCAACCAATCAGGATTGCGACACACGGCGGCTGCCTGCTGGCGCAAACGCCAAACAAGTATTAATTTTTCAGGCACGTTTAGGACGCCAAATGCCTTGCACATTCACTTTACATCTGATGTCGACCAGAGGAACCGACGTCGAGAATTCACGGAATCACGTTTGCTACCCTTCAGAACGAACCGACTTGACTATGACTCGAATTCCCTGGGATGACTGTCTTTCCTTCAATACATAACATCTTATATGTTATATAGGCATATAGTCCCTTAATCTATGCCCAGTCAAAGGTCGACGTTCTACCATGCATGCATTGACCTACAAACTTCTGTCCGTGTTTTCCGAGCGCCAGTGCATACTTAATGACCTACCTGACTAAAGGTGGTATCAGTGTGTTTTAATAATGCAAGCGAAAGGCACTTCAAGGCTGGCCATAACACAGACTGGTAGGTCGCTCAACACCCACGCACAGCCTTACAACGACACCCTTTATGAAAAACTGAGCAAAATAGGTTCTTGTTTGAAAGTCTCAGTCCAAAAGTTTCAGCATAAACAGCCTCCATCTACCGAGGCCGAAATGCAAATAAGTACTTGACGAGAGAGTAAGTAGGTTTGCACAGAACGGTATAACTACTGTTGGGAACAGTTCGAGTCTGGGTTTCTGAATTTCAGCCTCTTCACACGTATGATATCGTGTCAGGAATGCTAATGCGCAACGTTGGTACGCCGATGTACGCCCCCTTCACGGAGCTCAAGGCGGGAAGACTTCGCAGAAAGCAATTTACTGCGAAGTAGGTGTGCAACCTTATCGAGAATTTGATCACTAAATTGTCTAACCGTTGTGAAGTGTCGTTATGCTGAGATATCAACTACAAAAAGACTTAAGAAACGCCGACAGTAAAGGCCGCATTCGAGGGACGCCTCTTAAAAAGTGCGCATTTCCAATATTCAGCAACCGAAGTGTTTTAATGCTGTTCACGAGTAAAGTTCGAACAAAATCAGAAACCAACAAACAAAAACCAAGGGCTTTTTCATCTACCACTCAGCTTCCCGTCAGTCTGAAGGAACACCCTTCAGGAGGTCCTCAGCATCCATTCGGGCTTGGGGGCGCCACGAATAGGTTACTCCGGATTCTGAACGGGAAATCTTTTTCACCCCCATTCATGCCCCTGCACCAACAACACTCCCCTAGCTACCGAAAAATCAGTCACGACGATGAGTCACACCGCCCAGTGAACAAGGAAAACAAAGTTATCATGGTTCATTGCCCCTGAGGGTTTTGGGGGGATGGAGAAGTCCAGCCAAACGCATGAGACCTAAAGCCTATCGAGATAGTCGTTCATGTGACCCTTAACCTCGGCACGACAGATGTAACGATCACGCATGAAAGCCCAGCAGAGCAGTGTTCCTGGCGTTTCAATATCGTCCCTTTTCCTGATTACTGACCCATCGTGATTGGCATTGACCTTGAACAGGAATAACCCGAAAGGTTGAGATGCTTGGTCGGAGGTGTCAATCTTCATGCAACGCCCGGTTTTTACGCTCCAAATCCTCCCAGGGACTCACCGCATAGCCTGGGACAGCAGATAGCTAAAGTCCTCATCCCAGCAGCTTCCCGGATGGGTGGCGTGAAATGCAGAGAGGAAGAGGGAGAAATTATGCAATCCGGTGCAAAAAAGCGCTGCAAAGTGAATGCGCAAGGGGAACAAGACAGGGACGGAACACAAACTGGCCTCTGATGAGTTCAAAGGAAGGAACGCTAAGGCAACTGTCCTCATCAAACTGGAGAAAGGTATCCGGCAACCGTGCGTTGTAGCATTTGAAGGAAGTAAACAGACATGTTACGCCCCTTGGGGGCCGAGGGAGGGGCTGACCAACGAAGAACAACTAAACACCGGGAGAATCCAGTTTATTTCGGTTACAGATGAGAAGCTACGACAACCAGCAATGAGTGATGTCTTCCGGTCATCGTATCGGGCTGTTAATGAGCTAAAGCACGGCAGAGAAGGCCGATTAAATGAGGAGGAATTCAACGCAGGTACTCAGAAGTCGATCGGATTTCTAGGTTTCAGCAGACATCTCCACCAAGGAGGTAAAAGCCGCTATCTGAAGTCCAAGCTCCAAGGAAAAAGCAGAGCATAAAGTAACTGAGTCCTTTATCCTCACACTTACCCGGCCCCAGTAGTGCGACCATACTCTGCTAACAAAATGACAGTTCGACCGTCGCATCTAACGATGTGCACCGCAAGGTGAAGCAGGCGCGGTGATTCGCGCGCGAATCAGTTTACAGCGAGTGTAGACTTGCGTTTGCATACGAAGAAAAGTCGTCTGCTTTTGCGTTCAATCGTAATGATAGCTACGGCAGAAGGAAGTAAGATTTTGCTCTCAAACACAAAACAAGGAGAATAACCCCTGTCCCATAAACATTTGCGGAGCTCTCTAGCAACTGACCGTCCAAGGAAGGTCGGACGTTATCCTTTAAACCGAAATTTCCGGGAGTTATGTGACCGTCAGTTGACTTCCAGGAGCAACGAACATATATATTCTAGGCACAAATGTGATCTGCAAACTAATGAAAACGAATTGAGGCTACAATCGCACAATTCGCAATATCTACCCCTCCAGGGTAACATCAGTCGTAGACTGCGTCTCTGCAAACTCAATGGCATGAATAAACGGGAACATGGTGAAACCGAAAGACTCCCAACTGTACGCTAGACATCCCAACACCGGTCTGGCTAGAGCAAACCTGAAGTACTCCATCCTTCGGCCTTCAATCGCAATCGGAATACGTCAATCTTTGAAAATTCTCCCTGCGTCGACGATGTAGACCCCCCAGAGAGGAATGAAGTTACACTTCTAATCAACGACAGGTCGACCTTCGCAGGCGTCGACGTCCACCGCGCGTCCCGCGGAGTGAATCCAACAGCGAAAACTTGCGCAATAATTAGTTAATAGCATGGCAGACTTGTGCATCACCTAGGGCACTCGCTCCTCCCCCACCCACCTTGCTTCGATGGCAAGTCGAATAGCAGTGAGCGCGGACACAGTGGCTGACAAGACAAAACAGCCCTTGCTACGAATGCCAGACACGACCTGGTCCTCATTACATGTACGAGGATTCTGTGAGGGCATTTCAGGTCTCACAGGGGCGAGGACGCGGTAGATAGGCAGACGATGAAGGATGGGACCACTGCGGACAGTCATTCCTGATGACCATGTCCCGGAGCTTTTTCTCAAACTTCTCTCCGTCGGTACGGTCCCATCACTGAAGAAACCTCCCAGCGTGAGCTCTGCGACTGTCAGGCAGCATGCGGCCCATTTCAAACTAGAAAAAGAATGAGCAGAGCTTGCAGACGGTTTGACGACAATGCGATTACAAGCTGGAGGCGCTGGCTTTTGATCACTATCAAGCACCCAAGAGATCTGGCTGTCGTGGGGAGGCGTAGACTTCTCCACTTATCGGACTGAGCCGCGGTCAGTACGACCGTGGGGCGACAGATGTTCGGGGGGGAGGCGCGCTCTCCACACAACCTGATGTGTAGGTCCCCGTGGGGTAGGTTGCAATGAAACCTTCTGGAGAACACTGGAAGTTCCCAGCCAAAAGGGGGCAGTTGACAGTATGTCTCTGCTTGATCGGCCAACTGGACCTCCACCCAGCCGATGACACTTATGGGGAAGGCGGCGCTGAAACAGGCTGTTGTGAAAGGATTGGTGGAATTGCCCATCCCTTATCGCATCTCGGAGATGGACCAGGACGTGCATAAGGAGACTTTTCAACCCCAAAAATGTGTTGGTCGTCAGGGATCAGTAGCATGATATTATCGATACCACACAACTGTCCGGAACTTAACGATCAGCGAATTCCACCGCTCATCCAACCCCCCCCCCCCTTCCCTAAGTCCATATGGTAAGACCTATTTTGACAGTTTCGTCATCGCCAGGCAGCAGAACGCCCTACCAACCCTCATTTTTACGGCCACGGACAATCAGTCAGTCCACAGAACTCCTTGCAACAACGCTAAAACGCGGGGAGTAGTCAAATGAACGCTCAACGTGGCAATTCCAAAACCTGGGTCCCCGTAGGCTGATCTCAAGTACTCCCTTCCATCGTGTCACCATCTACCACAACCCCGTTGCAAGAGCTGTCGGACCTGCTCAACGACTCTAATTAGATCACTGCCACTCACAGAAGTGGTTTCCTACCAAACAACAACAGTCGTGGCACGACGTCTTCTAGCCCCAACCCCACAGAGGCGACGAATTAAAGTGCGTTCAGAGGGGTAGTCACATTGATAGATTGGTGGGAACAGAGAAGACCTGACTGCATAAGGCGGTCACCGCAAGCTGAGTCCACCACTCATATGCGGTTCCACGAAACTGCAGTCAAGGCAGCGGCCACATCTGGGCAAACACTCCGAGTGGTAGGCAAAACTAGAGGGGATTGGTTAGCGCTTTACAGTAGGGAGGAACAAGTCGCGTAATGGCACGCGTAGACGGAGGAATCCTGTGACGTCAACCCCGCGTCCCCCGTCTCATTTCCAGTGTTGGTGAGTCTCGTCTCCTTTTGGCTGAAGAACAAAATCGCGCTGAAAGCGAGTAGAAAAATGCGTTTACTAAAAGACAAGGTCAGGAAATCTACAAGAGTGGAAGGAGCTCCTCAATGACGACGTTAAGATCACGTCCTCCCAGGTCGCAAGCCTCGGCAGTGGCCCAAGCGGGTAGTGGGGCTGTGAAGGACCAATTGGAGCCGGAGTACCGAAATGCGTGCAAACGGAGGACCAGATTGCCCAGCTGTGGATCAGCAAATCGTCGGTTGCAGTCCGGGCAGTCGCGGTCGTAAGCGGCCTCCAGCAGGGCGCGCTGTTCCGCGTCAGCCATATCGGACGAATAATAGCGCACCCCAGTGGTTGTCACCGTTTCGAGACGGGCTGCTTTCGCCGGCGGAGCACCATCCTCAGTGTGGGCGACTGCGTCTCCCCTAGTGTTGGCAATGTCACTGTCGGATGCGACTGCAACAGCTGCCTCCGAAAGCTGCGTAGGGAGATAAATAGGGGGGAGGGGGTGAGAGATCCTGCTTGCAGCGTCAGTACTCGGCTGGCAAAGGATAACAATTGGGGAGATGTAATTAAGTTGGGCTTTTGACATTTCTAGTTTCTGAGTGCTGATAAAGATTATCCCTCTCTAAAACAGCTCTAAATAAAGAAACAGGATATGTGACGAATTAGTCTATATTTGGTCGATCACAAATTTTCGCCAAAATTTGAAGCGGCAGTAGGTGGTTAACGCGTTGAAGAGGTCAATTCTGTCTACGAGACTGGGACTCGCAGAGCATCGTTTTTGTCCGATTATTAATGTCGCTTATGAAGCATACAACATGGCCCACACCTATCGCAAATTTTCGTGAGCCCTATATGACGTTTTCTTAGTAGTGTTGACGGACGTATCATTTACTCTACACGAAAAGTATACGGTATAAATTTTGGAAATCCTAAGTGCAAATGCGACCGTAGGTCGGGTTCAAAATTACTCGGGAATTGGAAGTTTTATAACCCAGACGCACTTTATCCAATAATAAAAGTTAAAGGTGTGTTTTGCTACCAATTTAGCACAAGAAAATTTGTGTGCACGTTTCCTATAAAATATATTTAAACTAATAGAGGCAACGACAATCTATGAGGACTATACACTACTTAAGCAGACATACTTTATCGAGTGTGGTTTTTATAGGTGGTCGGGAAGAAATTCATTCGAAAGCCGGCATTTTGACGTGACTAGTTATATCGTCGGATTATGCTGCACGCTGATCGATATAACAACTCCACCTAATCGAAAAAATTCGGAATTTCGGTCAACAGTGAATGGGTTTGGCTGGCTATTGTATATACAAACTAAATGCGAAATGCACACAAAATCGACTGCGACAGCAAGGTTTGAATAGTTTCCGCTTCGGAATCTGTTTCCCGAAGCCACACCGCTTACCGACCCAAGCATTTAATTAAGTCTTCAGTTCAAAACACCAGTTACCCGCATCATTACGGCGGAATGCAAGAACATCTGATAAAACTAACAGTAAACATAACTTAGACTGTGGTAGGGGGCACTCACTGATCGTTATTACGGAATTCAATCGTTTCGTTGTGCCTTAAGGGCTGTCTCTCTCGAGCCTCGGGTGTTCCACACTTCGGGGTTGGGTATGACTGGCTGACAACGGCTAATAAGCCAGAAATGACCATTCCAGTCTCCCTTTACTTTGTCGGTAATAACATACTGCATAAATTAGGCTGTCCGAAAAAGAGTTCGCAGATAGGCGACAAGCCGCTTTCGGACCGGCATAATGGCCCGCGAATAAATCATTCGGAGCTCTTAGTACGAATTTTGAAATTGCGAGGCATTGCGCCCGAAAAAGGCGATCAAAGGGGGGAAATTTATATGATGCATTGTTAGGACCGCAGTTACGTTCCATCTAGGCCTTTTTGAACTGCGCCGGATTAGTTGACTTTTAAAAAAACCGACCACGGGCGGTTTACTTTAGTGTAGGTGACCAGTAGGGATCAGTAGTTAACTTCTGTTCGAGGACCCACGTTTTCTGGTTGGGTAAATTTCACATTTTCATGTTTTGCCCTAATAAACTTGCTTTTGGCTAAATTCAAACACTTTTAAAAACATTTAGAGGAAAACTCGTTCATAAGAATGGGGTTTTAAGTGAAGGCTCCTCGCTAATACGTGAAAAACTTGTAAAACGAGCAGGTTGTCTTAGAGGGATATTTAACCCAGATGTAAAGGAAAGTTTGGCCTCTTTAGACTCGTGTGAAAAACAGAAAACTGGCATAGAATATAAGCGGGGCGTTAGAAAAAGTCCCATCTGCAAAGGTGGGAGCACATTTGGAAAAAGAATCCAGCGTTATTGGCCTGCGTGCGACGGACGGGGAAAAGAAACCTCTGAAGAGCGTGGAAGGAGTGACAAGAAACTACCGAACAATCTGTCTAGTTCAATTCTCACATTAAAATCGAGTTATGTTGTTTTGAAAGCCCAGAAATCTCTAGGCCCAGTTATAAGACACTTGGCACTGATGCGGGGGGTTTTGTGGTTGTTGCTGCTTTGGTGGTGGTGGTGGTGGTGGTGGTGGTGGTGGTGGTAGTAGTAGTAGTAGTAGTAGTAGTAGTAGTAGTAGTAGTAGTAGTAGTAGTAGTAGTAGTAGTAGTAGTAGTAGTAGTAGTAGTAGTAGTAGTAGTAGTGACGGCGACGACGACCATTGTTTTTACTATTAGGAGGCTGACGGAGGGAGATGAAGAAGGAAGGGGCAAACCAAAGTTTGACGAGTTCAAACACGGGAGCGTGCCCTTAGTGTGGTTTCGGCGCCGCGTGGATAAAGTCATTTCGCTTTCGAACCACAAGGCAGGCACACTTCTGTCGGTTTTACAGGGCTGTGAGAATCTAGAAAATACAAACCCGATTAAGAAATCAAAAGTTGTTATAATCCACGCTTTTTACAATTCCCCGTTTTGCATGACCGCGGAAATGCGAAATTTTCATCCAACGGTACGACTCCTTCCCCTTCTAATGCTTAGAATAATTCCTCCACAGCGTCACTGTGGACGATAACATACTATATAGTATCGTATCACTTAAGAAAGCGCAAAAAACTGCGGAGTCCCGCCTACTAGTCGAATTCGACTTTGCAAGTCTGGGTCAGGTTACGACTGGCTGTTTTCTCCTCCCGGTGTAACTGATTTGTATAAAAATCTCAGCAAGTGGGTCGGTAGTCGAGAAGCATGCTGTGCGGAAACTAGTATGCGAGCTGATTAAGGGTATGAAAGCCTATGTATAAAATGAGCGTCAGAAAAAGTGGACAAGGCATTTCATAAGGTTTCCGTGGAGACTATTGATAAAAGCGATGTTCACATGACTCGATGACCCACAAAAAGGTTGTGACTCGTCGCTTTTTCCGAAATTCGACCCATAATTCGCTTGCTCTTAAGGCGATTCCTCGGGAGCAAACAAACCTTTACTGGGTAGGTTTTCGAGACTGGTTCCCCAGCTGTCGTCAGACTTACGGGACTTGTACGGAAACGGTCAGTCCTGTCTATCAAGCGATTCTGCGGTTGACCGAAACTTGCGTCAGTGCGCGTAATTGTACTTCGTCATGCCCTCAGTATTGGCTGCGCTTGCTGCCATATGTCCTTCAGAAATTGTTTCGTGGTATCTGAATGGACATGCCGATTGATGCATGCTTCATCTGAGTATATTGCTTCCAGGAATTCACGGCCTTTGCTTATTGGGCAGGCGTCAAAAATGCCCGTGATCTCCCACGCAAATTTATGCTCAGTGTATGCATGGTCACCTGAAATAGATTATTCTATCTCCCCACCGCTAGCTGGTGTTCTTGGATACGGATTGAGACAGTAAGTTGCTAGAAAGAGTTCAGAGGAGAGCAACAAAAATTGTAAAAGGCCTCAGGACTTTACCTTGCAACTGCCGACTTAGGGAACCTGACATAGATTATCTCATCTCCTCACCGCTAGCTGGTGTTCTTGGATACGGATTGAGACAGTAAGTTGCTAGAAAGAGTTCAGAGGAGAGCAACAAAAATTGTAAAAGGCCTCAGGACTTTACCTTACAACTGCCGACTTAGGGAACTTAAACTTTTTCCTCTTGAGTACAGGCAGGTTCGAGAAGATCTCATACAGGCCTATCGGATATTGAGGAACCGGGAATGTGCCCTAAACCCCGACGATTTCTTCACCCTGGCCACAACAACAAACCTGCGTGGGAACTCTCTAAAACTTAGAGGATTCCGATGCCGCCTGGACGTTCGCAAATACTGTTTTTCACAGCGAGTCGTCGGTACCTAGAACGGGCTTCCCGAGGACGTAATAATGGCGGATACCACGGAGACGTTCCAGCAAAGACTCAATGCATATTTGCTTGGACACTATCGCTTGTCTGAACAGAACAGCTCTGTGGTGCTAAACCAACGCCTTGCATACTCATACCGCTAATGCGGATGACTGTCATTACATTTTACTGAAATCATCTACAACTGAATGTTCTCAAGTTTTGGTACTACATTTTCGTGGAAATATTCTGTTGAATGTGTATATTACTGACAGCATTTCAGTACCATGTTTATTTATAGTGAGATATTGCATGTACCGTTTACAATAGGGTTTTCAAAGGCATTGCCTATTACTCTTAAAATATACTGACCTATACTGACCTAGATTTCCCAGTTTGGCCACAATAGACAACATCCCGACAACACCTGTTCAATCGAGGTAGCCAAAAGCTGTGCACGCAAGGCAAGATTTCCTGGTCCTGGTCTTGTCCCAAAGAAAAGACGTCCCGAAACTCATCAAGTGTCGCATTCCATGTGCAAAAATTGACATGTTCTGTAAGTACGCCTGATAAGTCCAGGATGAATGGCTATGCGTGTGGTCAAGTAAGAACCCCAAAATATCTGTGAAACAGAAAGATGGTAAAAAACGGAAACATCGGAAATAGCTGACTTTGTGATCAATCGATCGTTACTGCAACAACTGGTGTAGTATTATGCTTCGGCAATCTGTTCACAGTGAAAGTGAAGTAATCTTGAACACGCAAACAGGGTCGAGGCAAACGGTTGTTTGTCAATCGTCTTCAGCCCACTGCATTCGTCCAAGTGTGGGATTCAGTAAATAATACCAGATGCTTATTTCTGTTTTGTAAGGCCGAATGCACGAACAGAAGGGCAAAATATATGCATGACATGAAGTAGAATCGCCCAGCTGGTAGCAAGCAAAAATCCTCAGCTGTCATACTTAAGATGTGCTACCTAGCAGTGAGGTAGGGCCCTTCTACCCCACAGCTACAGACACTATGCCGGAGCAAAAAGTGTAGACACTCCTAACATCACTTACGGCGCCCTGGAGATAGGCGCTTCTGCTGCGGGAAGCGGCCAAGGCCTCAATAAGGGCGGAGCGCGGTTGAAGGTAGTCTGCGAATGCACCCTTTGTTGGACCCCAGTCGTATGAATTGTACAGAGGATCGCCAACCAGCGGGAACCCTGAATGGAGAGTAGGTCGATAACATTTAAACGGTCTTTGGAGAGTAAATGTTAAGACTGCTGTATAAAGTGGTACTAACAAAACGACAGTAGACAAGTTAATTACATCGAATTGTACTAACCCAGGTATTGAGCGTGAACCCGAATCTGGTGTGTGCGACCAGTATGGGGGCGGCAAAGCACAATACTGCTGCCTGCATCCTCGGCACTTTTTGGTTTCCTCCAGGCCAATCGAATGAAGGATGTCTTCGACGGTTTACCCCCTTCGCTCTCTGGCATCACGGCATTCAGACCCATTTTCTGGCTCAATCGGCCAAGAGGTTGATCGACGATGACTGGGGCGGGTGAATCACTCGCGTTCTGCTCTGGACCCCTGAACTTTCCCTCGACTTCGCAGACGTAGTACTACAGTGGCAAGGAAAGGGATGATTTACAAAAGTGCCGAAACATCCAATCTGGTTGTCTATCACGTAGATCAGTGCAGGACGGAAAACTCGACGAAACTGGGTCATAATATAAAGGTCAAAAGTCTGCCTATCACTTGTGAAGTAAGAACAGCTCAGTGTTGAGAATTAGCAACTTTTGGAAAGAAATTCAAGGACTTCGGGTTAATTTCTTAATGCTCTTGTCATAAGCCTTAATTCGTTTGCGACGATGAAACAACAATGCACATACATATGGTAAGGAGTACCAACAAAGCAGTAGCTTTGTATTCGAAAGAAATATTTTCATGGAAATAATTTGCTACATAGATGACGGTGGTCATGCGACAGCTAGCCAAAATCTTACCTTGCATACGTTTCTTTCGCTGATCTCGGTGGAAAGTTTCAACGAAGATTCGTACGTTTTACCAATCAGAACGAGACCGGAAGTCATCCTGAAACAGGCAGGCCACATAAAGTTAAATAAGGTTACTCGTTTGTAAACGAGCTCTGACAATATTTTTGATGGCGGAATTAGACTCCAGGGTCTGCTGACTAAATTCTATGGACTTTTGGTATTCTATTCCCTTTTTGAACATTTGTGGTCGAGTAAGTAATCGAAAATGCTTATCAACAAATACAAGGCAAACTGCAGTAACCAATCTAAGTTTATTCTTCATCGTCAGTCACTCATCTACCAACCTCAAATCGGGCACATCCGAGTTCAAATCGGACAGGAAGACAGTCTGTCATACCTCTCGAAGCAGCAAAACCATCAAATCATGTACGTCCGGGCCCACAGGGGTCCCGGAGAGAGGGAACCAACCAGTTGGTGTAGCTGAGTACCACTCAGCGTGTCCACTGGTTGCAGATAATTTAACAGTCCTAAATCGAAGGTTAACTGCTAAAGAAGTAGTTTATCGAGTCTGCGATAAGACCAAAACGTCCATGACAGTGACTTTGCCGCTATGCGGTTGTGGAAGGTAATCGCTAGCCACCAAGTGTCAATGAGGTGAGTTATAGAAGGCCAACAGAAAGGCGCTGAACTACGGTCAAGTCACCGATTTTTAAAATCTACGGATAAATCTGACGAAGTCAAGTTAAAAGTAATTCGAAGCTGCAAACGAGTGTGATTTGTAGGCAGTTCTAAAAGGTTAAAACTGTAGCTAGGAGTTTTCCTGAAAATATAACGAATCTTGAATTAGTGTTTCAGTCGAGAACGCCAAATACACTCGAGTCAGCGTATTCTCCAAGTCCGGCATCTTCACTTCCGCCAAGCCGATGCTATTACCACTGCAGCTAAGGTGCCGATGAATATGCGAAAGCTTAAATTGTCCTTGTAATGTCGGCATAAACCTCATTGAAGAAAGTGAAGACATAGAGTACTTGAGCGCGACGGAGAAGGACGGAGAAATTCCGGCGATGTTGTTCTGCAACGGCGACTGATGACTCCTCAGGTGGGAGGTCTTCTACCACTAGCGTACAGCGAATCCTTAGAATCCGTTAGTGTGCCTGGACTTCGGATGCCCTAATGCGAATCAGACATGCAGAGTCCTCTTTCGACTTAACATCAAAGGGTAATGCTGTCTGCGTCAGATATCTTAGACCTGATCCACCTCTCTCCCACCCCACTTCCACAGGACGCCCATTATGCCCTACCACTATCTGGCGTTGGCGCAAATAAATGCAAACGAGAAAGACCTAAAGTCTTCCAGTAATGCTAAAGGGGTATTGTTGTTGAACTTGAACAAAACCCCATATAAAGTCGTGAGCACCTCCGAGTAGTTGGATCAGAAACTCTTAAGGATACCCAAATATGTACAAAAAAGCGAAAACTCACCTATCCAGTCTGTGAATGACGTGAAGGTTGGAAAGGCCCCTCTCGTTGTATAAGACTTTCACCAGTGTGTTGTGGTGGAACTGGCCACATGGGTGGACAGGATACGAAGAGGGCTTGTTTACGACAAGAAGTTGGTCATCCTCGAAGACGGTTTTAATCTCTTCATCTAAATAAGGCAACGACAGGAATGAGAATGATGGCAAAAGCTCACCCAAAACCGGCAGTTCATGCCGGTGCAGGTAGTGCTCCACAAGGTCCGAGTCTCGCAGCGTATAGTCAAGTTCTACGGGACTTCCATTTACCTTGATCTGGCCACAAGTCATGCGGTGTTTCTAGGAAAGGAGAGTTGTCGAGGAGACGATTCAAAAACCTACAATCATCTCTTCATTGTCGAAATTGAACTCGTTGACAAGGACGTCATACAGCTTTTGTCCAACCCACCGCCGTTTGCAAAATGCTGTGAATGTGTAGTAGTAGGGAACAACCTGCAACCTCGTCACGTCAACTTTTTACCCACCTTGCGAAGACCATTTTCTGAATAGTACTTTATGGGCTGCCGCTGTTGCTGCCTAAGGGCAGATAGCTGGAGGTCTTTTCGGGATTTTGCCCGAGGTTTTTCGCCATCCCCTTGACCACTCACAGTTTCCGGCGCCAAAAGGTCGGACTTGACTCCTACTTCAGGAACAATTTTGGAGGTGCTTCGGTTCACCAATGGAAAAGTATTCACTCGTGGGCAGCACCTTAACTTTCGACAAAATTGCTTTAGGAGCTCACCGTAAGAGCTAGTCTGCAAGATGGAGGCAAAGTAAGAAATGAAGGTTGAACATTTAAATATAAAAGAAAATTCTGTTGACCATCAACCCTCCACCTGGTCTTATTTTGACCTAATTAGGGTATTACAGAAGCATTACACTAAAGGTCATGGAAAAAGGAACGGTAAATTTCGGTTCATTCTCTGTTATCAACTGGTTCCATCCCAAAGCCGGGGCTAAAGTAGCCCAAAGCTGGCAATCGGAACTAGCGGATCATTGAGTTACGGGCCCCCGCTCCGTCCGACGTTAATGGTGACTTTCAGTCGCATGGCTTTCATCGGTTTGGCCTGGCTGCGGCTCGGAAAACGGAGGCTGCTTCAGAGCTCAGCTCTAGATCTCGACTGAAGCCAAGAGAGGGAAAGCCAATGACTCAAGTCGTAGTGGGCACTTCGGACCTCGGTCTTCCCAGTCTGCGTTAGGGTACACCAAAATTTCGGAAGAATAATTGGCAAGAATACGCTCGCTTTCGATATACTCTCCTCGGGCCAATAAACTTATATGGTCCGACGAGAATTCATCGACGGCAAACGTTTGCTCGCCAACTAGTCTTTTGAATCCTTTCGGGGGAATTTTTGCAATTCTACGCCGGAAATGACCATCCCACTCTCTGGTGCATCTTTTCGTAATACTTGCTAATTGCTGTTAGCTAGTTGCTACGACCAGCTGCAAGAGCTCTAGACTAGATCCCTGAAGCAAAATTATACCCCTGCATCCTGTCTTGCAAGCGAACTTTATCGCCGAACAGCATTCCTTGCACAAGTGGGTGCGATTTTCTTTTAATGACCTGCTTATCGACACATCACAGTCTCAACGGCAAGAAGTATTGACCTTCGTTTGCATACTCGTACTAGTTGCCACCGAAATTGACTTAATCGGACAGAGTAGCCACAGCATTTTCAGATGGAAATACCAACACCACATTATGCATGCGTCGCCGATAGTTATGAAACGTTATGGGGGAATAATACCGCGAGTCTTCGCTGCTTTTTGGACCGATGTGCTCATCTGTAGGCTAGCTGTGGCAGTCGAAACCCTTATTGAAATGCCCTGGCAGCTCCTTAGTTAAAGATCAACCACGGCCTAACGACCAGTTCAGGTGACTCTTTAAATTTTATATGTGCTACGTAGGGACGCACTGTGTATTGCGAAACAAAGCTACCAGACATGACGTCATGCTACTCGGCTGTTGGGAGCATTGAGTCACCCATAGCAGAACATGGTCTGAGGCGTTCAGGCTTTTACTGTGGTCTTCATATCAGGCAGTGGGACAAGTCTGATATAACGCCGCAACGAAGTTGTGTATCGACATATTTTTCCACAGTTATGAGTTTTGCGCTACTTAATCTACGCTTCCCACGGACCTACGCGGAAATAACCGTGATTCATCATCACCTCCATCCTATTAACAGCTTAGCGTTATGACTGATAGGCGCGTGGGCGGTAGTAGAGAACAATGTTCAAAGACGTAACGGGTAAAGAGAGTATATCTTTTGAGAGGAAGGCGGGAAAATAGAATCAATACATGGTATAGTGTACATTTGCTGGGGTAAGTTGAGACATTCCTCCCCGTCGGCACGTGTTCCCGATCACAGCGCATCAGTGAATTGCGACTGGGAAGGTAATTAATTGATGTCGAGCGCACTAACAAGGCAAAGTCGAAACTGCCAAGTCTTCCTGGTGGAAAGCATACTCGACAATACACTTTTCTGTCTAATATTGTTATCTACCCACCCGTTTACTTTTTGTATTTTTATTTGTGCTTACACATTTACATGTTCCTAAGAGAGCCTTTGGAGGACTATCGCGCAGTAAGTTAAAAAAGGCATCAGGAGGTGGGGAATGTAAGGGTAAAGGCTGCCTCAGTGTCGTTCGATTCGTCATTTTCGACGCTAAGGTCAGGATCAGAATACACGGTGGACAACGGTAAGTCTGAATATTACAATTCTGCAGATAGATTCAGCGATATAAGTGCTCAAGACTCCCGTGTTTGCAGTGCAAGCACAGTTTATGCGGCAATTGAGAATAACGAGCTGACTATGAGGGAGAAGGTGAGGTTGTGGTCTGTCCTCTCACGCACGCCGCACTGCTATCTGAAGGCCTTGTCACCCATATTTAAAGAAGTTGTGGAAGGTATGCCTCTAGATCCTAGAAAACTGTTATAGACAACGGCCACGCGCAGCGCGGGCCCAGGCGGCAGTATATCCACCATGGTTTTGGACTTCAGATGATTGATATCATCTCACCTAATGTGGGTAGTTTTTGACATGCCTCCGAACCAGTAGGGCACATTGGTGTAGATGGCATACCGGGTAGTCGTAAGTCAAGAGGCGAATTTCGGTCCATATTAGGCGGAATTATAAAACAGGTTGTTGCTGGGATTTGCTATGGCCCGTCGAAGCCGGACGACGTAGTGTCGTACTGCCACGAGATCGCGAGCGACATCCACGAGACTACTAAGATACCGTCAACAGTGTGCATTTACGGTGAATACTGAGAGCTTGTCTTCGTCATTACCTGAGAGGCACCAGTACGGGCGTTTCTTAAGGAAGTTAAGAATATCAATTCATACTAGAGTCGTGAAAGGTGCAACCTTTATGGGGAGTACGTGCGTGAGTTAAGGAAAATTATTTGTGTGGGCAAATAGGAAGGGCTAAGAGCAGATGCGCAATTAATGTTCATTGGGGGAGAGGAGCACATAGTAAGCAATTCACTATGTGACTGGATCCAATCCAGTGGTTTCAAAAAATCAATGAACGAGTCATGTAATGAAGCAGAAGACGATTTCTAACAAGTTATAAAATCTAATATGCGGTATTCTGACGGCAAAGGCAGGGGCATATCACGGAAAGTACACAATGAGCCTAAACGCGGACCGCTGTAGTAGGCGGTCCGTCTGGATGTCGAAGATATCAGCCCTGGATTAACGCTCGTCGTCTGGATGGGGTCGGATGGAACAGGGGTTGGTCCCGACTGGCCTGAATGGTCGGTTTTTTTTACCTCGGCATCACACAGTAGACAGCATCTCAGACAAGCAGGTATATCCTGGACAACTAAGAGAGTCGACAATGCAAACGACATATTAGATATGGGTAGAGACGGAGAGGCGAAGAAAAGAAGCGTAAGTGAGCGCATATTAACTCAGGAACCAGAAGGAAGGGAAGAACACTCGTAAATGAAGGTTGATCCAGAGGATTTTCTCTGGCGGTATAACCTCAATCACCTTCTGCCTGAATAAAGGGAAACGTAGAGCTGGAGGCTGCTACAGGGGCTTGGATGTGGACTCCGCCAGTGGCTCCTGCAAGCTCACAAAAAACACAACAGCTCTTTTCGGAATAGGACACTTTTGTAGAACAAAAACGGATGAGTCCATCGCTGCCGCATCACATATCGGCACAGGACAGGACTAAAAACGCACTTCGACAACCAGAAAACCAAAACGTGATTCTGGGTGCGATCTTGTCAGACTGAGTCGTTTAAAAGGGATCGAACTTACTTTCAATGCTAACCCAGGATGGGAACTGTAATGTAGCCCCAAGGATGCAGTTTTGTTTGAGTAATTGGGTCCGGACAGAAAATCGAGGTTGGGTCGTAAGGTAAACAGGGCTTATTGCTTGTGTTGTGGCGTCAGATTTTCGCCCCGGAAATAAGTCCACAATCCTCGTAATCGAATTACTGAGTCGGATAATTACAACTATGTTTCGGCTGACAGTTGAATAAACAGTTCGATCTTTAGTTCACATACTTTTATACGCGCATTGACTGTTGTTTTTTTTGGTGGCGCAGTGTGATGGAGTTTTGAAACCGACGTGTTTTGAAATGACAGAAGAAAGCCAGAGTGAGGCCACCGAGGATAAGGACTGCATGACTTCTCATCTCCCAAGCCAAGGATTTAAGGGTGCTAATGAAAAACGGATGCGAAATAGTGGGATCTGTCGGTAGCACTTTCTCTCGCAAGCAGTGACTTTTTCACCCACAGCGGATATTCACTGCAGATCTTATTGATTCCTCCACTACTTTCCCTTAAATGTCAGTCTTATTTAATTAAAACGAGATGTTGGCAAAGCCCTTGAGAACCCTATTTGCAAACCTACGTTGAAAATCGTGTATATGACAACAAAGCAAGCCCAACTAGTCCATTTTACCAAAAACCGCTCGCCAAGTTTCGCAAAATTCTTTCCTCGAACAACAAGAGTCCATCGGAAGACGCCGCATCCCATCCTCCGGGGCGCTCCTGAAACGCTATTTCAGATTTCAAGTTGGCAAGTGATAGTTTCACTGGCTTCTTGTCAAGAGCGTTCGTTGAGGCCGATACTCTTCTCGAAACTACGACATTCACCCTGTTGGACGTGACTGTAGCGATTCGGCGTCTGCAAAAGTCACATAGCCCGGGACCTGATGATGTCCCAGTTAGTATTTTAAAAGCGGACACATATTAGATCTTGCCGTCCCTCTTCTACTGGACATTTAGTCTCGCTCTCGAAAACGAAGCCTACTTCACAATGTTGAAGGGTTCACACACATTGCCTATCCAAAAGCACGGCTAATCCACTTCATTCGATGACTTTTGGTCAATAAACACCTTCCCATAGGCACTGAGCAAAGACTGGATAATGTATCACTTAACACCCAATAACCTACTTGGTGCTGCTGTGCATGGGTTCTTCAGAGCTCGCTCTTCTGACACCTGTACGGTCTCTTTCCTTATTCATGTTCCCAATCTAGGGACAGTGGGTCTGCACTTCACTCGAAACTGTCGTTTGTGTAGACTGATCGAATGTCTGTACTCCCCATTCCTGAGTATTTTTGCCAATTTTTTCGCTTGATAAACGAGGCTTGTCGTTAAAGATTGAAAATGTTCAGAGGCATTTTACCGTAAGGTACTGAATTACAGCACATCCAAATATTTTCAACTCAGATAGTGCCAGATAACTAACCCAAAATGTTTATGAGATCGCAGACTAGAAGCAGGCTTCTGACTCCTCTTTCGCATTAATAACAGTTCACATTTTCCTCGGACTCCAGCCCTTGCCGTCTGATTGTCGCCCATACAATCTTCCTAATTCGCCCTTGATTATACGTCCTCTCGCCTCCTCTACCCCCAGGCGTTCTCGTTTTTTGCTTCCAGGTATATGTTCTTTTGGAATAACCTTCCCATAGACATGCGAACATCAGACAATCTGCTCATTTTTAAGGAAAGTTGACGCCTTTATCTGAATGATGACTCAATTAAGCTTTTATTTTCGTTATCCTTCCCGAACGCCCTTCTCTATGACACTGAAAAAAGTCCATCAGGGATTTAGGATGCCACCAGCAAATAAACCGTATCCACTCGCATTTCCTTCTCTGTGGGTTACTTCGCTTTTTGGATCTCTCTCCAGAAATTTCGATTTTTTCGGTTTTCAGTCCATGCATCGTGTCCTTCACGGAATATGTTGTCCCCTCTGTCAAATCTTCCCAAAGAAGAAGCGGGGTCACACTGACCTGCGTGCTCTAAGTCGCCTCCGCCTCGTTTATCGTCGACCTTCATCAGGTATCCACAATAGGCACCGAAATTTCGAACTCTCACCCCCAATCGATTATTTTCGTGGTTCTTTATGTCACCTCCTCACTTCGACCCTAAGCTGTCTGTTGACGGTCACGGCGGAATCTTCTGTTTTCGCCACCTGCTTGTAGTTTGGTCGCTCAACAGAAAGGTCTAGGGCCGCATCTCCTCTCCATGCCTTGATGACCGCCTCAGCCTTTAATGTGTCCCCCTTAGCTGGACTCTTATCGGACTGTGTCCGATCGAGTATGGGTTCCTATTGTCTCGCCACTTTGATGCGGGAAGTCTCAATTGGTCTGCGAATTCTGCCCTGACGATATCCAGTTCAACCCTTTTATACACTACCGTATGCAGGCCATCCCTATCCGAACCGCATACTTACCCTTTCATGAACGGCTGTTTACTTTCTCCCTCAAGGCGGTGCGTCCCTCCCCCCATCACCTTTTTTTTACGACCGTTTTGCCAATGAATTCCACATGCCAATGTCCATACTGGTTCAACTAACTCATCCGCTCCTCAACTCTGCCCTGGCGGGAATACGCTACAGTATCCGGTCCGTGGATTTCCAGCAGAAAATGAACCATCTAACAATAGTCATCAGTTTTCCTGCCCGTCATTCCCTTCCCCAAATCCTTCTCCTCTTTATTCACGTCAGCATATTTTGATCCAACAAAATTTTTTGCAGAACGGGATAGGCGCATCCGGATGGTATTTGCCGTGGTTATCCAGTCATTGGATGACGTAGCCCATCTTCATCAGAAACGAACGGTCTTTCCCATTAAACTTTTCGTTCTAGATGCCAGATGCTTGCCACACAAGATGCCTTTGCTTCAGACTCTAGTGTCCGTCCATTGCCCAGATACTGTTTTAGTAACTGAGACATGGGCGAAAACTGCCGTAGCTGGTTCCGCAGTCTCTCTCTCCTAGGCTATACTTGCATTCGAAATGATCGTCAACACAGCCGTGGTGGGGGCAGTTGCATCTATGTAAAGCAAACACTTGCATTTCTGTCGCTGGACCTCCCATATGTTTCCGCGGTCGAAGGCAGCTGCTGGCTCCAAGTTGCTCTAAAAATAAATGTTTCTTACTCGTTGGCTGTGTTTATCGCCCTCCGAATGCCAATAAGAATTTTAATCGTCGTCTCTCACTGGCATTTCATGCTGTGACCGACTTAAGCTTTGAGTGCCAAGTGGTTGCGGGTGACAACAATCTTCCCGAAGACCATTGGACTCCGCCGTCCGTCCCCAGAGGTTTCGACGTTTTACTTGAGGCTGTGGACGTTGGCTTTTTGATTTTCCCACCAGAGGATTAAGCATACTTGACCTGATCTTTCCTACTGGTTGCATGCCTTTGTCAGTGTCATCGTTAGGTCCACTCTGGGGCTCAGATCATGACATAGTTTTCTCAACGTTGGATTTCGAGGATGACAAAAATTTGTCCCCAAAAAATAGCTTCTTCCTCGATTTCCGATCAGCTGCTCGGCGAATTATTAGCACACCGTAATTCCAACGACTGGATTAATTTCTCCCAAAGTTCGGTTGTAAATGTTTACACTGCCAAATTGTACAAAAATTTGGATTCGCTTATCCCTCGTTTTGTACCTTGTAAGAAAATAATTATATCGGGATGAGGTTTTCCCTCGCTCAGTGTTTCGCCGCAGGTTGCGCAGACTTCCTCGTCGATTCCATCTTCAGAACGACGCTTTCGTTCTGCCCTTGACTGGT